TATATATAGAAGAAAAAATTGCGGCATTTACATACATATGATGTGATTTTCTTGTATATTTATGTATTGTTGTGTCAAGAAATTTGCATCATATACTTTTATGTGTAAAATGTTAGAAAGAAAAAAAAATGAGGTCTGAATTAGTTAAAACAATCCATTATGTAATCATGAGTATAAAATTCACTCTTCATTTGGATTAAGGAAGATGGAAATACAAAATAATATTGAAATCATCATTGCTTTAAAATAATTCAATTTATATAACAGTTAAGAGTAATTGAGACTAAAATTATTGTAGTCTAATTATAGTAGTCATGATAGGATTGTAACAATTGTAGTTCATTATAGAATTTATAGTTGATGACTATGACAATTGTAATAGAGCTATCAAAGTTATGGTTGAAGAATATAACAGTTGTAATTGGTTACATAAGTCATGGTTGCAGAAGGTTATAATAGTTGTATTAGGGCAATCATAGGCTAGCGGTCGATGATGACTCTTAGTCATCGATGATGGCCTTTTGTAGTTGGCGCGATGATCGTTGACAACCACCAAGACATTAATGGTAAAGATTTAGCAGTCAGTTCACTTTACTCTTTTGCTCCACAATTTAAGTGAATAATTGGGGCCTATTTATAGTTTTTGAGATGAACATTTTGATAAATTTGACCAATCTTCTAAAGCACTTCATTAGACATTTCACATTGTTTATATTTATCACAAACAATTCATTTAACATTTAAGTGCCTTAAAAACATTAAAATTGAATGACATTAGATTTGTTGGATTCCTCTCGTCAAGCTATTCGATTTGGACTAAATTATTTGGACTCAGATTGGATCACTTTTGGCGTGATTTGGTTCTTGTTGTCGAAAAGCTTAGTTTGATTATAAATTTATTGAAATTGAGGTTTAGCTGACCTTATATTTGAATTCAAAATATTTCTTGATTAAAATGCTTATAGATTTGTGTTTAATGATGAAAATTTCTTGATGACACATCAATGTCATTCGAAAATGTAAAAATTGAAAAAACCTCTATTATAATTTTTGATATTCCAGAAACTTGTAGATTGAATGGAACAAAAATCTTCAATATTTTTAAATTATCAAAATTTACTCATTGAGGCTTTATAGAGTTTTAAAAATGTCATTGATTTTGGATAGAAAAAAAAAAAAAAAAAGATGGCTTAGATAAGTTTGGAAAAAGGCTTGACATATTGTTTTTGTCACTATTTGTGGTGATGGTATGATGACTGTGATGGTTGTGGCTCAATGTCGGTCGGATGATGGTGGTTCAAAGGTGGCAACAACTTGACAATAGTGGTCTGGCACAGCGAAAGTGGCTCATCGTTGATCGAGTGATGGTGATCCTGCGGCCGCCGCAACGCCCTACGATTGTGGTCTAGCTGTGTTTGACATTTGAGTACATATGCATGCATGCCTAGTCGCACATATATGTGGTACAAGAAAATGAGCACAATAGTGTGCTCGAGAAGGTAGTGGGGTCTGTAGGCTAGTATTAGCACAAGAAATGCATAGCGACATGTGAATGAGGTAAAGAGAGGGAGTGTGTTGGTGTGTATGGGTGCAGGTGCGTCTGTGCGTGCAAGCATGAGATCACACATGGGAGCACGAGAATGGTTGCAAAGCTATTTGCTCGTGCAAAAAGACATACAATATTCCCACACACTAGCATGCACGTGCGTATTTGGGTGCATGGACACATTGGCGTGCACATGCGTGTGTGTTCATGAACGTTTTAGTAGAGCTAACCTTTAAAATTTAATTTTTTTATGTTTTTTTTTTTTTTTCAAAATTTCACTATAAATACACCTCTCAAGGGAGAGATGAGTCACACCTCCTCTAAAGGGAGTAGTTGCATTGCATATAAGCAATGGTTTTCTAGTTTCCTCAGACAGTTGTTGCCTACTCATATTCAAGAAGTTGTTGCCTACTAATATTCAGGATGTTGTTGCAAACCCATATTCAGATTGTTGTTAGAAGATTCACTCCTTATTTTTCTTCCAAATCTTTCATTTCGAGCTTTACTTTCTTAAAAGTGGGTACTTTTTGGGGGAAGCACAATGTTAGGAAACCCTAAGTCGCTTCTTTTATGTTTCAAAAACGCTTGGAGGATTGATAAGTAACATCAACTATTATTGATGACATTTTGATAAATTTTGTAAACAATTTTTATTTCTAAAATGCCATGGTGCTCTTGTCTCCCAAATCATATGATTGAGCTTGTTCTCTGCCACTGGGATACCTCACTATTTCTTAGACAAGCTTTCATGTGAGTCTTCTATTTTCGTTCTTTTTAGTTGAGCTTTTGGAGTCGCCAGCTTATCTTATCATTGTCGTATAATTCTCTTTTCAAATAAATCTCTCTATAGAGAGAAATAACCAGATTTGTAATTACGTAGATTTTTAAGCTTCAAAAGATGACAAAAAACTTGACCCAATTTATATTTAAGCGACTAGTGTGCAAAATAATATTTTATAAAACTTAGAATTTGATTTATACTTCACACACTATGAGTTCTACGCAAGTATACATATCGTTTTAAGTAACATAGGGTTTTCTTTTAAGACCTCAAGTATTGATCCCACAGAGAAGCGATTTAAGAAATCTGTTAAGCTAATTTTAGTCTACTACGATCAGACCTTAATTGGAATGTCGATTAAAGTGGTTTTTCTAATAACTATTCATAAATGAAAATCTTAAAATCTAAAGATAACTAACATGAATAAATTATTTTGGAGAATTTGAGATGTTAAGGACTACCCTTCCCATGCAATGACATAAATTATGCATAGGAATGAAATGCTTAGAATTTAATGTAGCCAGTGACAAATAGAAGCATACCTATTATTTACCCCCTCTCGGTGCTAGCAAAGAATATTGGCTAACATAAAGTTTGTGTCCATATTGTATAGTGGTGTTGAATAGATTTTAGCCTCTCACTTCTATATTACCCACTGTGCCCTCTATAGGACCTACTAGGGACCCTTACGATCCAAACTTTAAATTGAATTGATAAAAGAATCTAGTTTGTCACCCTAGAAACATCAATTATATGCCCATCAAAATTTATCTCCCTATATGTTTGCACTCCCCCTCGGGTGATCGCAACGACTCTGCCCAAGTTGAAATGTGGCGTTAATAAGTTTGTGAAATCATATTCCTCCCTGGTCATTATGTTTCACAACGAATTATAACATTACAAGTGATCAGTTTGTAAAGTAAATCAGTTTGTATCAGTTTGTAAAGTAAATTAAGAGCCGATGAAAATATCATCACATTAATTAAATAAGAGAATATCTAAGCAAATCTAAATTCTTAAACACACATCTATTTCATTACAAAAAAATAAGAAAAATGAAATCAATGACAAAACTAGTAAAAGGATTGATAGAATCAAGTAATAAACTATGTGCCAACAAGGAGCATATGTCTACCTACCCTCTTTTGAGTGTATAGATACGCTTAGTATTTTATTAGTTTTATAGAAATATTTCTCACATAGAAACTTCTAATAGAAATTGATCATTAAATTATATTTCCTTAAAAGTTGCATTGTCGCCTAAACTATTTTACTAGCCAACCAATTAATATGAGGGCACTCAAGTTGCAAGATCACTGTTCTCCCGAGACTTAGTTTCACATGCAATAAATTTTAACATAACTTATTGTCACTTAAGTTATGTCAATGAAACAAAGAAGATATTACTCATCACATGAAAATAAAAGTTATTATATCATAAAATAAATTTTCCTACACATGTCACTACTTCATATTAAAATAAAAGAGTAAAGAAAACTATTTACGAAGCATGGATAAAACACAACAGAAAATTTTGTTTAAATCAAATAAAATCTACTAGAAAGTGTTTACAACAATTACAAGATAATGAAGAGCATAATACTTAGTTTTTTCTCTCTAAAAGAAAAATTAAAATCTCTCCGACAAAGTCTTCTGTTGATCCATCCGCTCATACTTCCTTAACTCATATCTCTCAAAATCCCTCACCAATCACTCCAAAAAAATGAAGAAATTTACATCGTCATAGTTTCACGCCAAACTCTCTCTCAATCCCACTAAAAAATCCTCCTAAAACAAACACTAATTATTTATCATGAGAGACGCCAACCCCTTTATTTAAAGAGAAGCCAAACATCTCATTTTTTCCAAAAGACACACCCCTTTACTGCAAGAGACACACCCTTTCACTCCAAGAGGCACATCTATTCATTTAAAAGCTTTTCAAAGTGTCTAGATTCATTGAATAACTCCATGGGGCGTGCATAACCACACAGAAGCTTCCAGAACATCCCAGAATGGCTCAGAATCACCCAAAAGCAATCCAAAAAATGTCTCGGGTGTTATGGAGCCAGAATCGACGCTATAATGCATGTTTATAGTCGTTTCTGGCACTATAGCGCCACCCTGTGGGCCACACACCTGTTTTGTTTTGTTTTGGTTCCATTTAACCTCGTTTTAGCTCCAGTTCGCTCCTAGTGTTATGCCTACAAGATAAACATGAAAATAATCTTTCTTTAAAGTATAATTTCATTCAAAAATATGTTATAAATAAATAGGAAATTAAGCATGGAAAGTCATCAAAATGAGCCTGATCAGAATTTTCTTCCATGCTCAAATTGGCTCCATATTGCACCGTCTTTGTTTTATTTTTGCTAATACTTCATTCCTTGTTCCTGAAATCAAAAATATATAAAATACCTTTCTTTGAAGTGCAATATCATAAAAAATGTGCATAAAATGAATATGAAATGTACACTAAAAATAGATAATTTTAAGGTAGATTAAGAAACCAGAAAAAAAATGAAAATACGATAAAAAATAGACAA